CCACTCCGAAGTGTCAACCGTGTGTGCAACCAAGTGTTGTTCAAGGAAGTAATCATGAAACTCAACGTCCAAGTGACCTAAGCCAACTGAAGTCAAGCTCACAAACTCATCCATGTGAAGAACTTCACAGTTCTCCTCAACACCATCATGCAGAAGTGGTGCCATTGCACACTCAGTGGATGAGCACAGGTCACTGTGAAGTGCCGTGCTCAAATCAGACTGAGCTTTGCTCTCATATGGAAGTTGGTCCGAAGTGTCAACCAAGCTCAAACCACGCAAGTCTGGCAAGCTCAAGCCAACATCAACCATGCAACAGAAGTCACTCCAACCTGCAAAGTCAACCAAACTAGAACCGCTTGAAGTCGAGGTACACGAGAAAACGCCTGAGTGAGCAGGTTCAGGAAGTGAGTGTCCTGTGGCTCCTGTTGCAATTGCATTCAACGTCACTGCAGCGAAAAGTATGCTGGGGGAAGCCTTCACCTTTGCCTTAGGCATGGGGCCTGAAGAAGTGACAGGTTTCTCAAGACCAGGGGGTCCTTCAAATGTGACAGCTCCTACAGTTGGCTGCGAAGTGCTTGGCTCAGCAGGTGCCTGTGGAGGTTGGGCCTCTGGTCCCGAAGTCTCAGGTGCCTCACTCCACTCGCCTGCACTGAAGTCCCATGGGCCGAAGTTCCATGAGTCATCTTCCCAAGAAGTGGGGTCCCAAAGAGCCCCAATGGACCATTCATCAGAAGTCCACTCATCATTCCACATGTCGCTCTCATGCCATGAAGTGTTCCATGAATCATCGAATGACTCACCTGAAGTTTCATCAACAGCACTGACTCTCTTCCAAGGACAAAACTGAGAAGTATGCCCCTGTGTCCCACATGACCAGCATGTCATGGACCCTTTACCTGAGGCCGAAGCGCTCGAAGTGCTGTACTGCGAAGTGTTCTGCTTTCCTTTGCCTTTGAAGTTCGGTTTACCTTTACCTTTGAGTCCTTTTGCCTTTCCTTTCATGAAGTTCCAGTGACCGAAGCCACCCTTTCCTTTGCCTTTGTTGCCTTTCTTGCCTTTTCCTTTGTTGAAGTACGAATACTTCCCTTTGCCTTTGAGTGCACCTATGTCCATGGGAGCTGCTCCGTTTGATTGTGAAGTGGTCAGGATGTGACGCGACCTGAAGTACTGAACCAACACCTCACGAGTGGCCTGGTAACTTTGAAGTGCATGCGCGTTGAGACGAAGGTGCTGCTGAAGCGCGCCTTGTGTTTTGTTCATCAGCGTTGCCACAAGTACACTATCGGGAATTGGAGTTCCTGTTTGCCTTTCGTACTTGGCCTTAACTGTCTCCCAGGCGTTGAAGTCTTGCTCAAAAGTGCTTGTGTTGAACTTCCAGTCTAACAACTGAGTCAGAAGTGACACATGTCTGGTGGCATCTGGTAATGAAAATTGGCGATGAAGTCGGCGCCAGGTCTCAAACCCGTTGCCTCCTTCATTCTGCCTTACCAGAAGTCTGGCACTATCTTTCGTCAAATTGGCTAGCAAATAATGAAGTTTCCTAGAAAACGTCACAAGTCTTTGCCTAGCTGCTACATCAGTTGTGATACCATCGAAGTGGTCATCCAGGATTGGGTCAGCAGAAGTTGCTGATCTTTCCAGAATGGGAATCACTGAAGGCTCAAACATAGAAAGAGAAGTGCGGAAGTTCCATTCCCATTCCTCCCAGGATGCAGGGTCACCATTAAATGGGTTCGGAAGTGGAAGCCTAAGCTTACCACCGAATTCCGACTCCAGCTCTGCCATTGGCTTCTGTGCAGTCGAAGTCACTTAAGTGACCTCCTTTGATTTCTCAAAAGTTGGGCTCTACCGAAGTCCTACTGGAGCACTAAGGCTCCGCTACCATGAGAAAATCCAAGTTGATCAGAAGTGATGCAAACAACACTCCTACTGTATGACCACACTCAACCCTGAAGTACCCTAGCAGCTCCCTATTTTCCTCTGTGCACTTGAGCCTTGAGCCGAAGTGTCATGGTGAAGTATTATGGGGTGTGCCATGCATGCAATACTTTGACAAGCACACACAAACAAACAAACAAACACTCAAACAAACGAAAACAACAACCAGAAGCAAGCAAACAAACAATCAAACAAACAATCAAACAAACAAAGCAAGCACACACACAAAGTCCACAAGACAACACACCGCAACACAACACAGTAAAGAACAACACACAACAAAACACAGCCCAACAAAACACGAACAACACACAGCAGAATACAACACACACAAAACCAACCAATCAATCAATCAATCAATCAATCAATCAATCAATCAATCAATCAATCAACCAATCAATCAAATCGACCAACCAATCATTCAATCATTCAATCATTCAATCATTCTATCATTCTATCATTCAATCATTCAATCAATCATTCAATCATTCAATCATTCAATCAATCAAACAATCAAACAAGCAAGCAAGCAAGCAAGGGATCAATGTAACAGACAAACAAAACAAAAACACAGAGCAACACAAACAGAAAACAAGGCAAAACTAAACAAACCAAACAAGCAAGCAAACAACGCAACACCACACCACACCACACCACACAACTCAAACAGAACACAAAGAACAACACACCAAAAAAAAAGCCAAACAAACACACAAACAAGAACAACAACACAACACAACACGACCCGAGAAAGCGCAACACCATACAAAACCCACCTACACAACGCACCCCAAACTACAACAACACATATCATATCGGCAACAAGCATGCGCACCAACAAAAGACACGACAGGGAAAGACAAAACAAACAAACAACCGACCAACCAACCAAACACACACACACAGCAAAACAAGCAATACCACGACACACCGCAAACAAAACACCGTAGAAAACAGCAAATCTAAACAACACCAATCAAGCAAACCCACAGGCAACAAAGCAAAAACAAACAAACAAACAAAGAAATATAAAAAAAAAAACGACAAAGAAAAAAAAGGACCGAAAGAAAGAAAGAAAAAAAGAGGACCGAAAGAAGGAAAAAAAAGGACCGAAATAGTGAAAGAAAGAAAGAAAGAGAGAGAGAGAGAGAGAGAAAGAAACAAAGATAATAAAAAAAAAGAAACCAACAAACCAGCAAACAAAAACCTGCACAACACAAAACACGCAAAACACAGCAAGGCAAAATCAAAAAAGAAGCGAAACAACACCACAAACAACAAAAACAACACAACACATAACAAAACAGAAACACCTACACGAAAGCCAGCAGCGCAACACAACACGAACCAGCACCGCACGAAACACTTCGAGGCAACATAAACATCATAACACAGAACAAAACAAAACAAGCAGAGCAAGCAGACAAACAAACAATTGAACCGAACAACAAGCGAAGAATCACACACACATCGCAACACAGCACAATACAAAAAAAAAACGCCTAACGCACCAAACATGCAAAACAGAACAAACAGAACAAAACAACACAGCGCAAAACAACGAAACGCGCAAACCAACAAACCAACAAACCAACCAGCCAACAAACCAACCAGCCAACCAACAAACAAACCGACCAACCAGCCAACCAACCAACCAAGCAACCAACCAACCAACCAACCAAGCAACCAATCAACCAACCAAACAACCAAACAACCAAGCAAACTACCAAGCAACGAGCAACACACACACACACCAAACACACAAACAAACACAAGACAAAGCAAACAAAGAAAGAAAAAAAGACAAACAAAACATGGTAAACCAAAACAAACTACTACCATACCAAAAAAGACAGGAGAAGACAAGGCAAGACAGACAAATCAACAGGCACACAAACAAAACACAACAAAGCAAACCAACGTGCAAGCAAACAACACTGGAACACACCAGAGCGCCAACCACAACAACAAGCAAGCAAGGCAAAAGACAATCCCTACCAAAGAAACATTATTAACACAACAATGAAAGAAATATCAAGAAAACACAAACAACACAAAGTAAGGCAACACAACCAACACACATCGCGAAGCACATGACAACCCAAAAAACACCACAGACACGCAAACCCTTAACACAGCACAACACAACACAACACGACAGCAACAAATCCAGCTGCGCTGTGTGTCTTCGAGCTCAAAGAGCGAGGGCAGCCCTACCCGTAGGGCATACCGCTGACCATTCCCCGGCCGCCCTGGCTTCGCGACGGGCTTCTGATGCCACGTTGCCCGACCTTCAAAAGACACTGTAAATACCGTGCAAATCGCCCCGGGCAGTCGCCAGCATCCCCGCCAACATCCTCTGAATCTTCGCAAACTTCGCCAGCATCACCGGCATTCCCTGAATCACCAGCATCCAGCATCCCTTACATCCCCTGCATCCCCTGCATCGCTCAAACCCTTCAAAAACGGTCCCCTGAGAGTAGGTTTTGGCGGTAGGCGGACATGGAGGGCGAGTCTGCGATCGAGTGAGCGGTTTTCTTGCGCAAGCGCGGCCGCCGCCGCTGCGTAGAAAACATCGCGCATACCGTGTTTTCTTCATTTTTCCACCGGTTTCTGTGGGGCTGGGACGGGCTGCCGGGGATGCGTTTTTTGGTCTGATTGGATTTCGGTGTGAGACACGTGCGGCGCGCGCGCGCCGGACGCAAGCACCGGACGCAAGCAGGCACACATGCGCTCAAGCTAGAGTGGGTGAGTGCATGCTCAGTGTCACGCAGGTTGGGCAAGCAACCTTGCAGCCTCTTGTGTGTGTGGGTTCACAGCGAGCGCGTGCTTGGGTGGTCCGGACACCAGGCTCTGAAGCAAGATCCCGCCTAAACAGAGTTCTTCTTAGTGCTCCTCATCTCACCTGTCCGACCGGCCAGCGCAGCTGGTGATGGCGAAGCCCTAGGATACATGACACATCACAAAAGAAAGCACCAAGCAAACAAGACAAACAATACACAATAAATAAAGCAAGACAAAACAAGACAAGAGCAGGACCAGCCATTAAGCAGCTGGGAAGCTGATGCCGGTGATTTGCGTCAATGGGTGAAGTGTAATGGGAAACACAGCGCAAAGGATCGCCAACAGCGTCTTGCGCACCAAGCGCGTCACTTCCCACCACTTGAACTCATCCTGGGCACACAATGGTCCGACGCCTGATGCTGAGCCTGGAGCCTCAAGCTACCAGCGAAGACCCTCCTGATTGCGCTTGGGGATAAATTCAGTTGAGTCAAAATCAGAGGTCGCTGATTCAGCAGCCCTGCCCGCTACAAGAGCCCGCCACAGTGCAATATGTTCCCAACGCGAGTCCAAGAGCCGCCCTCAACGAATGGAACGGAAAACCAGTAGAACAAGCCTCGGAGCCTGTACTACAAAGCATTTACCCAGTGGCTACTTCAAGAATGTGCTTGGTTGATCTTGCCTGCCAAGCACTGTGGGATGGCCAGACTCCTGCACCGGTTGGCTTGAATAAAACTCTGAATACTGGGATAGACCACCAATCCCAACTGGTGTGGCAACTTTTTGGAGGGAATGATGCCACTGGCACACTGGACAATTTCAGGCAAAGAGAACTGTTGTCCAATGGAACTTCTGTGGCCGGGCAGGCTTGCCCGCACAAGACAAGTCCGTGACAAGCCTGACTTCACAATGGACACTGACTTGGAGCAGGTACGAACAAGATCCTCTACAATCCTGAATCAAGCTCCTCGAAACGGCCACTTGGCTTTTGACCAAACTACTGTAAAAGGCTGAACTGTCTCACTGGGTCACAGGTGAAGCAGCAAGGATGCAAGCAAAGCGGTCTCCTTGTAAGGGGCTGTCAAGTAGAGAAAAAAGTGGGAGTCGCTGTTGGCTTTGTCCCTGATCAGCATCGCCCACAAGGCAGGTCCAGCAAAGGACATCGCCGCCACCTCTGCAAATCACGTCAGCTCGACAATCATTGCTGGGAAGCACGGGCATACTTCAAAACACGGCAAGCGCTTTCCTTGTGTCGGTGCAATCAAGCCAAGCTTTTGCGAGCCATCCCCATCGAACAGTCGAGCCAACAAACACGAGATTGGCAAGCCAAGCACGAGCAACAAGCTACACACACCTAAATAGCATGGCAAATTCCACGGATCAAGCAGCTCCAACACAACTCACAGAAGGAATTCGGAAAACTCAACAAAACAAAGCATGTCAAACAAAAAAGCAACTTAATCACAAGCAGGACAACACACAACCACAAGCATACGACGAGCAATCAGGGAAAGCAGGGCAAACAGCGCAACCAAAACACTAGGTCAACCAAGCAACATACAAACAAACAGCCAAACATGTATTCAACAAGCAAACACTCAAGCAAGCAAACAAAAACAAACAAAAAACTTATCTCACAAAGAAACACAAATCCAAGGGAACCAGAATCTAACAGTGCACAAACAAATGCATGGGCAGGCACGCAAGCAAGCCAGGCAGCCAGCAAGCGACGAGAAATCAAGTGAGCGAGCAAATATACCAGCGAAACAACAAGCGATAGAAAAACATAAGTACACTGGAGCAGGCTAAGACTTTAGCAATCAAACAAACAAATCAAACAACGGACAAGCAACAAATATCATCAAACAGCGGACAAGCAACTGAGAAAGCCCATTCCAAGAAACAATCGATCGACATACAACAACCCACAACAAGTCGTGTTGCATGGATCAACCAATTACAGTAGTTGACTGACTGTCGGACTGACTGACAGACTGGCCAACTCTCCGACTGACCGACTGACCAACCATTTGACGAAGTGGCGATCAAGCGGAAACAACTTGCAACTGATCAGCATTCACGATCAACCAAACGACAAGAAACCAGACTCATAATAGATGGGAATACTGGGAAACAAAATGCAAGCACAAAATCAATCAAGCCAGCAATTAGGCACACAATGAATCACACAAGCAACCAACAAACCAAACACACACGCACAAACCGCAACCAACATGTTACAATGCAAAAAAAGGCAAAAAATCATGGTTCCACAATTGCCATGTGCCGACCCAACTTGTAAGGGCCAATCGCCAAACTTGCGTCAGTTGTAAATGTTCAGTTAGTGGAAGTCGCGCCAGGGGATTGAGCCGTTGGTTACCCTCCATCACAGTTTTGCCCAGGTGAGATTTGTTGCTTTTTCCTCAACAGATCCATCGGTCATTAAAGGGTAACCACCTCCACCCACCTCTAAAGGCAACATTTCGCGGGCCCCCATCCCTATTTTAACACATACACAGCAGACCAGTATCTTAGTGGTTCGTTGATCCCTTGTCAAACTTTTGGTGGGACATGTCATGAATCCCTCTAGACTCCCAACAGTCTAAAAGATCTAAAAGCTTGAGGAAGTGAAACGCAAGTCTGGAGCCGAATAAGGCGTCGGCAATGCCCAGCAGAATCCAAGGCGAGAGGTGCGCCTTGGCCTGCGGCGCGACTGAGGCAGTTCAGTCGCCTTGAATTGGGGGCCTGCAAGTAATCGGATCGGGGGACCCCGAAAAAGACGCTCCAAAAAAAAAACAGTCTTCTTCAGGTTCCATGTGGATTGTTGGAAGTAATCAAGGGAAACCATGGTGGAGTGTTGGAATGAAATGGCACGTTTGGTTGACAATTAAATGAAGGTGAACCAATTGGCTCAAGGGGGCCTGCCACTTTTGGTTGAATGCAACAATATCCCCCTGCAAACAAAAAGGGAAAAAGGAAGCAACCCATTGGGTGACTGAGGACCCGTTTGGCAACCCTTTGGGATTTGGGTTGCCTTGCTGGTTCTCAGTAGCAAATTAGGATATGACAGCTTCAAACCATTCCTTGTGAACTTGTGGTTTCGCTTTTTGCGAGGGAATCCCTTGGCTAACTCCCAGCCCAGGGCGTGGGCCCAACAGCAGTTTCTCATGTTGCATGTCGAGTTGCATATTCACAAACCAGCTCTCCTCCCAGATGCTCAGGCTCCATCCGGTAGCAAACCAAGTACTGCCCGAAGCCTGAGAACTGGATATATCTGCACGTTCTCAAATTCCAAGCTGAAACAAGGGTTCCCAACCAAAGGATCTAAGTACACAGTGAGCTATTCGTGTGTGTGTTTGTCGAGGGTATTGGTTGAGGGTGTGAGGGTAAACCAAAGGCAAATCAACCCCCTGCCCAAAATGCAGGTCCCCATACTCTTGTCACATACCTATTGTCTGGGTTTAAAAAAACCATCAGCCTGACACAAAAAACAAACTCCCGTGCAGAATGCTTGCTTGGCATAGAGCAAACAACTCAAAACCCTGTGAAGAGTGGGGCCTCACTAGCGAATGCACGTTGGGGTTTAAATAGTTCACTTGTCCTCACTTGGACTCGCGGTTATGATTCAATGATCATGGTCGTTCCTAAGCATGATGAGAAACCCAAAAGGAACCCAAAAGGAAACAAGCCACATAGCAGAGTCCAACAACGGCATCCTGGGATCAGCCCTTTGCGGGGGATCAGCCCTTTGCGGACTCCCTCAAAATGGCGGCATCCCTTCGCACAGCAAATACGGCGAAACCTGATCGGGCACCGAGGGTGCCAATGAGACTTCCCACTAGACAGCACTGTCAGAGATACCCCAAGGCCTAAAGCCTAAAGCGGCTTGCCAAACAAACGGACCAACATGCCGGAAAGCACTGGTTTGGAAAATGGGGAAGCTTGTCAGACGATGTGAGGTTCAAACGTTGCCAATGGGAATGTTGGTGAATTTCATGAGTATGATCATTGGGACCAAGTGCTCGATGCGAAGCGCGCGCTAGTCCAAAGGGACAGTCATAAGGGACGGCCACCCAAAGAAGCGTTCGATGCAAAGGGACATGAACTTTGATCGCACTCCTTGAGGTGCCGCTGTCAATTCCAAAGAGGATATTGGCTGGGGCAACCTAGCACTGGGATGGGGGCCTTTTGCGCGTTACTGAAAGAGGGACCAACAAGTCAGCACCTAGTTGTTAGGGGAGCCCCTAGCATTCTTGTTAACAAGGCCCGCCCAGAAGCACATGCAGAGCTTCGGCAGAAAGCAGTTGACGCCCACCACCAGTGCCGATCTTGGATCCTTCACCACCGCCAATGCCAGGACCAAGCAAACGGGAATCAAAAGCAGCAGGAAGAGTCGTGATGTGGAAGTAACAGGAAGGCCCAAATAGCCTGAAACACACGAGTCGTCCGAGATATCGAGCTGCGCAGCTTGCTGGTAGACCCTTTAACCTGCGGCTGAAGTAAGTAAGCGCCAGACTTAGAATAACATTCAAGTATTTTGGGTTGTGGAAGTATGCTAGCCAAGGCATTATTCAAGAGTATGCTCCTGTCAGAATTCGTCCCAGAAGAAACAAGATACGGATGCACACAAGGTCATGTCCCTTCGAAGCGCGCGCGCGGTGTGCCTAAAGCAGGTTGCCCTGTCATCTTTGAAACGGACACAGTCTAACAACACTTCCTCTGAAACCTGTTTTTTTCCACTAAAGTTGTCTTCCCACAAATTTAGCAGGGACCCCCTTTCGACATCACACCATCCGAAGGAGACTCACTTTAAAAGCGCCTGAAAAATGATGACAAATTATCCAAAAGGGAAAATATCGGGAACCCTGCATTCAGCCACAACTGCGCAAGAGAGTTAGGCAACGGTTCTCTAACAGAGCACCCATTTGGCCTGCCTAGCAGGCAGGCAGTGCAAATGCCGCTGGCCGAAGGCTCCCCTATGTCCTGAGTCGAGTGGCGAAAAAACAGCAAGGACACCTCCTGTCAGCTTGCAACTGGTTGCAGAAAATGCCTAAATGTCAGTGACGCTCAAGTGAGTCATCTCAAGACCCCTTTGTCACTAAGACTATTCCCTTGGTATCACCCTTTGTATCATAAATTGTCATAAAACATGGTTGTTTCGCAAGCATATATTTGGACTGTCAAAAACACGAAAGAAAGACGCCCTTCAACAAAGAAGTCGTACTGTGCCACTGGAAGACATGGGCCCGGAGCTTTCTTACCATCAAGCCACATTAACAGGCTCTCGCTTCCTCAGTGGGCTAGGGAATGACGATCCAATGAGCATGGTCAATGCATGTGTGTCCTAGGCATGAACACCCACGGGGTAAACGAGGGCTTGCATTCCTCGGCGTTTTCCCTGCAACCAACGATAACATGTTTGATCTTGGCCCATGCCTAGTAAACCTCAAATGTACAACAAAGAAGAAACCTTCCAGTGGGCACCCCACGATTTCATCGACCTCTGGTCAACACAAAATCGATATCGCCATCCTATTTGCAAAACATGTAGTTTTACAATCACGTATTGGGGCAAACCAGATTTTCAAAGATAACCGCATTGCAAATCGTAATGCGTGAACATGTCATTTCCTTGTGGGCTTTAAAGCCGCTTGGATATTGGACGGTCGATACAAATTCCTGCTTCTGTTAAAATGTACCCTTCACGAGACAAACAATTCGCCTTCGCGAAACGTTTGCGACTCCATCGTTACGCCTTTGTTTTGCAACGTGCGCTCTCAGCATGCAGCCAGCTGGCAGCTGTTCCAACTTGAAGGGTAAACTCTCTGCAAGTTGACTGTGCGCAGGCACGCTCAGCAAAAACATGCTGTGCTGCTCTGCAAGTCGGCCCTGCCAACACTTTCGGGCCACCAAGAGTCTGGCGTCCAACCAGCAGCGTTGAGTCATGTGACGACTATATGTCGAGGGGTAAGTTCTGCCACACATGGTACGCAAGGGGGATGTAACGAACGTCCGCCAAGTCTCTGGTATAAACCCTCAAAAACTACCTGTCGGCCCGGACATCAGCGTGAGCCGTTGCTTCTGCGGGCATGTGTGTGTGTGTGTTACAACTGCTTCCGCGAGCTTCCCCAGGCAAATGCTTGTTACTTTCGTTTCCCTGCCACAGTTTGGCATATTTTCGGCCAATGTGTTCTTTCATATTCACCTTCCGCCAACCTTTCGCGGCTACGTTGCAATAATCCCGGTAAAATGCCAGGGTAAAAAATAAAAACCTCGCATTTTTGTGCCAGAAGTCTAGCACAGAAGACATGTGCCCGAGGTAGACATCCAGGTCTTCCAAGGTCTCGTGGAAGCTTTCGGACTCCCTCACCGCTAGCAGCACGGGCGAGGCAACCGCCACGAAAGACATGAACCTGGCCGCTACCACGACGGAAGTCACGTGAAACGAAACAAAACAACAAACAATTTTTCCCGCTTGCTGCGTGGATTTGCACAAAAAACGAAACTTGTGGTTTGACACACGCTTTAGCCCTGTAAGAAAGCAGGCCGGACATTGTTCGAACCGAGACCAAAAAACAAATGAACATCCGGTAAGCTGGGGAAGTAGCGGGGCAACCAAAGATCTCAGGGGGATCTTAGGGGGGGAAAGTGGGAAAACGATCTTAGGGGGTGAAAGGGGGGAGAAGATCTTATGAGGGCGGGAGGGGGGGAAAGATCTTAGTGGGGGAAAGGTGGGAAAAGATCTTAGGGGGGAAAAGGTGGGGACAGATCTTAGGAGGGGAAGGGGGGAAACGATCTTTTCGGGGGTGGGGAGAGGGGGAGAGGATCTTGGGAGGAGAAAGAGTGGAACAGATGCTAGGAGGGTTAGGGGGGGTAGGGTGGAAAAGATCTTTGGGGGGGCAGGGGGGAAAAGATGTTATAAGGGGGGGAAGAGGGGAAAAGATCTTAGGAAGGGGGAAAAGATCTCTTCGAGGGGGGGGGGGGGGGGTGAAACGATCTTCAGGGGTGAAGGGGTGAAAACGATATGATAAGGGGGGGAAGGGTGGGGGGAAGGATCTTAGGAAAGGGGGGGGCAGATCTTGGGGGGGCGGGGGGGGGGAAAGTCTTAGAGGGCCAAAGGTGGGAAAAGATCTTAGGGAGGAAAGGCGAGAAGATTTCAGGGAAGGCGTTGGGGGGGAAGGGGGGGAAAGGGGGGAAAGGGGGGGGGGGGAAAGGGGGGAAAGGATCTCAACAGGGCAAGGGGGGAAAAGAGCTCAGGGAGGCAAAGGGAGAAGAACTTTGGGGGGGAAAAGGCCTTAGCAGGGGGGAAAGGATCTCAACAGAAAAAAACTGATCTTAGGGAGGCAAAGGGAGAAGATCTCGGGGGGGTAAAAGGCTTTAGGGGAAAATGGGAAAGGATCTCGCAAACGATCTTAGGCAGGAAAAGGGGGAGAAGATCTCAGGTGGGGACGGGGGGGAGAAGATCTTAGAGGGGAAGGGGGGCAGGCCTGTAATGCCGGCGGCCTGAGCTGGAGGCGTTAAAATTGGACCCTCTACAGACTTTCGGCGGACCGCCAACAAACCGGGTTTCTTACGCTCTTCAGCTTGTGCAAGCAAATAGGCCCTCTGCGGACTTTTGCTGGGTCGACCTTCAAAAGAACGTGGCTTTTTGCATGTTCTTTTCGTGGGCTGAGGAGAGACAGAGAAAAAGAGCGAGAGAGAGAGAGAGAGAAACAGGGAAAGAAAGACAGGAAAGAGAAAGACGGAAAGAGAGACAGATAGAGAGAGAGAGAGACGAAGAGAGAAAGAGAAAGTGAAAGAAGAAAGCGAAAGAGAAAGACAAGGAGAAAGCGAAAAACACAGATAAAAGAGAGTGAGGGAGAGAGAGAGGAAAAAAGGAGACACAGAACGAGAAAGACACAGGTACAAACAAAAACGCAGACCACGAAGAAGGATAAGGAGGAGGCGAAGGAGACAAAGAAAGCGACAATAAATTAAGAATCATAAACAGGTGAAGAGGACGATGAAAAGCGAAAAAAGCCAAGCCCAAAACCGAAAGACCAAAAACAGAGAAGACAAAAAACAAAAACAGAGTAAGACAGAAAGATAAAGAACAAAAGAGGAATAATAAGAATAAAAAGGTAAAGAGAAAGACCCATAGAGATAAATAAAACAAGAAAAAGAAAAGTTAAGCAAACACACAAATAAAGAAAATATTTAAAACGATAGATAACAAATAAAGAAAATAAAAGAAAGCAAAAAATAACTAAGAAATAAAACATGAACAAATAACCCAAGAAGGAAGAAAGAAACAAAACAAGAAAGGAAGGAAGAAACAAAGTAAGAAAGAAGGAAAAACAGAAAGACAGAGATAAAGAAAGAAAGAAAGAAAGAAAGAAAGAAAGAAAGAAAGAATAAATAAAGAAGGCAAGCAAGAAAAAAAACAAAGAAAAAAAAGAGAGACAAACAACAAAGACAATACCGCAAAAGAGAAAGGTAAAAAGAACAGGAACGTGAAATAAACATGCCAAAGGGGCGGAGAGAAAGAAAGAGAACGAGGAATAGAAGGAGAGAGTGCAAGAGAAGGACAAAAGGTAAGAGAGAAAGAAAAGTGAGAAGCAGAGAACAAGAAAGAGAAAAACACATGATGAAGAGAACGAGAAAGATATACGGAAGGAGCAAAAGAAAGAAGTAACCAGAAGAGGCGGGGAGAGAGAGGGAGAGAGAGAGAGCGAGAGAGAGAGCGAGAGAGAGAGAGAGAGGGGGAGAAAGAGCGAGAGAAAAACAATAGGAGAAATAAATGCGTTTACATTGGTATCTATCTGAGGGTTGTCAAGTATTCCTTGCTCCAAAAAATTGCCTTCCGCCTTGCCCTTCCGCACATCTTCCGCAAACTTGCGCGCTGCAAGTAAAACCACACATCCTGATACGTGTCTGAACAGAAGTAAGTTTCCGTAAAAGAAAAGCAAGCCCAGAGGAGCTAGTGCAGGAAGCAATAAGTAGACTAGGAATGGAGCGAGGATGGGACGAAGAGCAGAACGAGCAAAAGGAGGGAGAAGGACAAGCAAACGTGGGAAGCGGAGCTGCAGAACACCGGAGAAAGAAAAGGAGGGAGGAACGCGGCAACAAGCGACAAGCTACGCTGCATAAAACAACTGGCCACCCCCCGCGCACTGTGACAGCCACAATCGCTTTGGTATCGTTTTGGGTATCGTTTTGAGCGCTTGCAACTGCGGCGTCCCTGGGCGAGAGAATGAGCAGCAGCACCGGGACACAGACACAAGCAAAACTTCACGTCAAGACACGAGACGGGCTGGCCAGCCCCGGCGCAAGGCGACAGCTGCAATTGTATAGGTTTCGTTTTGGCATCGTTTTGGCTATCGTTTGGAGCTCTGGCACACCACGACAACTGTAGCGCCTGCGCGCCCAGACCAAAAGCATGAGCAATAGAAACAGAGATTGGGGAAGGGAAAAGGAAGCAGCAAAGAGCAAGAGCAATAGACGCAAGCGACATTTCATGCCAATGGAACGACGGGTGGCCAGTCCCAACGCAAGGCGACCGACGCAACTCTGGGCTTAGTTTGAAGACACAAGCACACGCGCGCTCGTTTCTGCCTGGCGTGTTGGAGCAAGGAGCAGCATAGTCGGACAAGCAGCGCGACTTTTCAGCACTCGTGTAGTACAGTACACGAGAAAAGCCTCATCCCATGATAACACGTAACGTATTCAGTCCTTACAATCAAAAAGCCATAGGGGGGTTTTCGTCGATCCTCATATATACTTCTTGCGCTTCCAGGCATTACTGGTAGTAGGAACTGGGGAATTAACATTGAACCCGGCGCCGGGAGACTAGTCTCGTGGGTCCCAGGTTTCAAACCCAACAGACAACAAAGATCTGGACAAAGCCACAAGTCCAATGGCTTTTCGCTGAGCCGCTGGTTGGTGAAGATGCTGCTTTCCTTTGTCTTGCCGGTCGCGTGTGTCACACCAGCCGCTGACATGCCAAAGATCAGGAGGTCCTGACTGAGGCAGGCTGTGTGGCCACAGAAAACTGTTGAAGACAGGGAAACAGAAAAGGGGGGTATTGAACAACGTTGCGTTTTTCAAGTGACATGGTACAGTTGTTCAGTGAAACGCGCAACCCTTTTGGAGGCTGGCTATTTTAAAAAATAACAAGTAAAATGTAACGTCAGCCACCTTGGCCCTTGGCGATGCCAAAAAGTTGGCTTGGGACTCTTCATCTCGCAGTCAGTTGGGAACCAGCATTTCTAAGTCCGGAACAAAATGCCAATGCGCAACCAAGAACACGCCCAAACTCACCATGAGGCTGTTGTCATCCCAAGTTTGAAGTAGCTTTGAAAAATTGCGCCCCGCGGGTAGCTGTTGGGCGAAATGAAGATTTGACCTTGCTTCCTGATAGAGGTCAAGCCAAAAGGGGGTATGAAATTGTCGCAGCAAGCGTGACCTGGTGACAACTACTTTTAGCGGCAAACGCCATCGTGCCGTTGGTTCGCAAGCTAAAACGGCTGTGTGGGGTTGAGAATTGGAGCCGCTCAATAAGTCTGCAGAAGTGTTGTACCAGAAGCGTATTACTTATACTTATGCGTATTTTGCACAGCCTCCTTGTCCGTGCACATACACGGTTGCAAGCGCAAAGTGTTACTTGTCAATGCTCATTCACTGCTTCTCCTAGTTTGAAGTGGTTCTGCCGACACTGCGACGTGAATACTACCCAAGCGAAATAGAATTGCGTGGTAAAGGGAATGTAGCATTATTGGCTACATGCGCAGGCTGGCAAGAAAGATCGGCCGACCTGCCCCCGACAAACGTCGGACGGGGGCTCTGCCAAACGGTGCCACTTTTGGCCTATGTTTTGACTCTCCGACTCTGAAAAATGTTGTCGTCTTTATAGTTTGTGCTTAAGGCCTCCCAAATGGGACAGAAGTATCTTGGCGTCGCCTGCATGACCGCAACGCACAGAGAGCGCTAGGGTCGGTTGAGCCATGTGACAATCACAAAATACTACAAACATCGGCGGCCGAAAAACGCAAACAAGGCCACGAAAAAACCAAGGCAAACATGAGCGGCTGATTTTGGCCAGCCGCTTTGGAACTTCACATTTGCGTAAAGTGGCTAGACTTGCCAGCCCCTCAGCTTAAGCAAGAGCGGGTCCCGCCAGAGCCACGCTGGCTCTGTAGATAAGCTGTGTAATTGGGAAGCTTGCCAAGAAAAGCCGCTCACAGATTGGCTACTGCAGAGCTGAGCCAACAAGCTAGCCGTGGGATTTGGTAAAGCAACTTGCGCTGGTTGCGCTTTCTGAAGAGCAGCATACTGCCTAGGCATCCGGCCTTCCAACGACCAGGCTGCTCAACTTTGCCACGAACGTGCCAAAGACTTTGGGCCAGCAGTGGGGGCTGCCAACTTCTAACTCCGGGCCGCGCGCCCTCTTGAGAAAGCTGTTGAAGTGAGCACCACGACCCGCTGCGCGGGTGTGGGCAGTGTCGCTCTAGGCACCAAATGCGGCGCGCGTCATCAGCAAGAGCTGGCGCTCTGGCGAGGGACGTTCAGACCACAAAAGGTCTGTTGCGTCGGCGGTTTCATCTTAGTTGCGGACATGAATCCCTGAGCATGCTCAGTTGCCCATGTTACCTACCATGCAGCGGAGATGCGTGGAGATCTCTGCTTATCACCTTCTGGTTTTTACAGCCCCAAGAAATGAAATGCTCTTGGCTGAGGCTAGCAACAGAATAGCCAGCACGAAAGCGGCAAAGAGCAACAGCTACGAACACCGCAGCATGCGCCGCGCCGCGCATGACATGAGGTTTTTGTATTTCGGGGCGCACACGCTTAGACATTGGCAGACAGTTCCGGAGAACTGCCTCCGGGCAAACCACCAGTCCAACGCTAACAAACTTTCATGTCTCGTCTGCACTTCGAGAGTGGTTGACGACAGGGTCCCATTGAAGACTCCGGTGTCATGCTGCCCCATCTTCAAAGGGAATTCAATCGAGTTCAAACAGGTCTTGAGTTTGACAACTACGTGCGAAATTAGAAATGAGGGCACCCTCCGTCCAGGCAGCACTAAATGAGGGTCGCCAAAGGAGTCCCCATGTTTTACCACCCAAGATCTGATTTTGGACAGGTCCATGCTTGACAAGGCCCCAGCGCTCAAGCCTTGGGATTCCAAATGCAGCAGCGTCGAGATTGGTTTTTCGCATGTGGCCACTGCTAGGTTTTGGCGAGGCCTTCCGATTTTGGCAGGGTTGGGCCAAGCGCTTTCTTTCGTGTGCTTCAACAACCACCTTTCAGTTTCCCCTTCTAGGGGGCCAGCGACAAGACCCTGTAAGATGTAAGAGCCGCAGCAAACAGAAATCTCCTCCAACACAAACTGGGCGATCTGCGTGTACTGCTGAGTTGGATTCGCTGCGCACCGTAGGCAGTGGTTGAAATTGCCGTCGGAGGGCCCGTGCGAGCCTTAGTTCAGCAGCGTCCGGGAATAGGGCGAGCTAGGTGTCACGAACTCAGCAAACAAACGCGACGTCGGCATCTGATGCGCCAAGCTGGCAAGTTCTGGAAAATATGGAAAAGCTGTAATGCAGAATGAAGCACATACACACACGCACGCAAATAGTCCATTGCGTTCGAAGCGTGATGCTCCGAACCTCCCTCTGCGCGACATCGGAAATATCATCTGAGCCTTTGTCGGAAATCACAAATCCAGCGCCAGCTCAGCTGAGAACGACGGACACACCTGCAACGTCGCCTAAACGTCCGATGCATCAGGCTTCCCCTCCCGAAACATCGCTTGGCTCAACAAGGCGTGCCCAGCGATTGCACTAGTGCACTCGGCTGTAGTGGCGAACGACGGTCCTATGCGCAAACCAAAAAATGTCACAAGGCCTAACAACAGCCTCATTGACCTTCCCACGCCGCTACCAGCAACCTGCAACGCACAATCTTTCCACTGTCTCCGTTCCCCAGTGGTTGGGAATGTGCCTGCTGTCCGTGGCGTGGTTCATCAGCTGTGTTGAGCCGTTCTGACTCATGTCACTTGCTATAAACAAAACAAAGCCAGAAGGTCTGCTAACAATGTAACAAGGTAGGCATCGAGTCGACAAAGGGGTGTGGACATACTGCCCGTCCCCCGTCGTCCGAGCCGACCAAGACCAGGAAGATCCTTCGTTGGTTCCCCTGCGCCAGGACAGGTGATTGGGTGTCTCCATACCAGCATTCCTTCGTGAAAATAGGGTTGATGCTGGTCTGGCACGCTTGTGCTATGTGGGTGTTGCACGGTGGGGATCCAATGTCTTCCAGTACTCTTGGAGGGCTGGGAATGAGTCAAACCCCACTGCATGGGCGAACACAATGTTCGGCGTTTTCTGTGCTGTCCGGTGGTACAGTGCCTTCACGGGTGCCTGTGTAATCCTCCACCCTCGTTGTTGGGCTATGGAGTGATCATGTCGGCTAAACGGGTCAGCGATGTTGCACGTTCGATAAAGGACCGAATGCCATGTCGGTTTCACCACGTCCAACGTTCATCCAAGAGTTCACGGGCTGGTGAGTCGCCACGCCCTTCCGGATCGCATGTTTGGCAGCTTCGTTGTCACACAGTTGAAGGTAGACGTGGAGCGCCTGCGTTGACAGACAACCCTGCTGTTCACCCCGGAACTAGAGGCACAGTTCCCGAACGCATGCTCAGACAATTTGCAGGTGGGACCTCCACCATTTACATGCTTGAAGCATTGGCCGCCATGATAGCTCCAGTTGTGTTCAAACAAAAACAATGTCGCTGAGCGTGCTCAGTAGGTCGGCCAGGCGCAAGAGCGCGCCTTGTCGCGTTGGTGCTTGGTACAATGCGGACAGCGCTGCACGGCTGACTTTGCCAAACAGAGAAGCCAGCGAAGGACGGCTCTGACGGGGCGCATCTGATGGGCAGCACAAAGTGCAGGTTGGGGCATGTTGGGGCTGTCGTAGGGTATACTCTGAGAGGTCTTCCTTGACACGGAGTCCGGCCAACCACAGGGTGGCGCCCGACAGCGCTCCACAACACCTACGAACAAGATCCCTGTGACTCCGATGCCCAAACCACCTCCAGCACCGACCGACCAGCCACGCAATCGACATCACGATTCCGATTCCCTACCGACTACACCCGTGTTGGGCCAGGTGTGTAATGGTCATCCGCTGCGAGCCTGGATGGATGGCTGGCCGTGAGGGGCGGTTGTTTGTTCTGCTCGAACAGGTCATCCCAGTAGCTGGACTCTGGTTCTGGCGTCGGTGCCTGGCCATGTTGTTGCAGGATGTGAAGGGCCTCCTACTTGGATATGGTCCGCGTAATGAGGTTGTTATGTCGAAATGCTGTCCAATCCGAGGTGTTGAGGATACAAGCGCAGACGCGCCAGAAGGCTCTTGGAGACCATCGGTCGTCAATGAGTTCGGGGCGAATTCGTGCACAGAACTTTCAGGAGTTCAGTCGTCTGCATCTGCAACTAAGGTGACAGGCAAGGTGGGTGCAGACTTGTTCGTTCCGCATGCATGGCCTGGTTGGTCAGGTAGTAGGTCTAGGTCTAGGTGACGCTGGATGGCTGACCACACAAGGTTAAGGTCAGCATGATGTTCGGACATTGCCTGGACCACTGGAGCTGGAAGGCGTTGCGTACCTCCTGGTCCCAAAGTTCGGTGTATGATCCAATTCGCCAAAATGGCAAGGGGTACGCATTCGCATACTTCAACCCCTTTCTTTGAGGATCAATGATCATGTGCGCGTCATGAGGCGCTGTGCTTGGTAGGGTTTTCCAAAACCAACCAATTAAGACAGATGGGTCACTGGCTCAACGTTGTTATTCATAACACGAGTGTTGATCACCACAAGGGCGAGGAACCTTCATCACCCGAGGCAAACCAAAATAGGATTGAATTTGATCATTTGTGGGAAGCAAGTCAGCCACAGTCACAATAGGCAGATATGCTAACGGACATGGGACAGTCAGTCAATGCCGTGGCTTCTGCTTGATTTTCCTGAGTCCGCGTCCCGTCCAAAACAACGACCGGAGCTCGTGTTTTTTTTGCTGGCCGAGAGACTGCTGCAGGTGGCACAGCCCCGGCCCTCGTAGCCAATCGCGCACATATGGAACGAGCCGTTCCTCACCTGGCGTTGTTGGCAAATCCAGCCAACGGGCATCAAGCCCGCTACTCACGCACCACCTTATACAATTAGGAAGCAGGCAGAGAACAGGGGACCATAGCACGTGCCCATTTTGCGGGCCAAATCTAGCAAACAGGCCGCAGCTGCCAAAACTGGTTCGAGCCCCAAAAGGTGACCAAATAAAATACTTGTTACTACTCCCGCCTCCCCGCCATAGCAGGCATTGCGGTTGGGGCAAAGGAAGCTGCGGCTGAGGTTCGAAAGCTCCACCATGTACCCAGGATGCATCTGGATCTCAGCGCTCCTCAGATTTGTTTCCTACTCGGGTCTGTCTCAAAAACGAGAAGCCCTCAGCCAGATTAAGAAGCATCCTGGCTAGCAACCACGAAGTGGATACGTATTTAATCGGCGCTATGTCGGAAAGCCAGTCTTCAGCCTTGCAAGCAGCCTTCCGTCCAACCAGTCGCCGAGGGAGCTCTGAGAAACGAAGCAAATGTGAAAGGCAAGCCGGCCCTCCAAAGATGGAAGCCCCTCCAAAGACGGAAAGTTCAGGTCTATGCGTCTCAGATTGCTGTGCCCCGCCTTCGACGGCCCGATAGCTTCCAGTTGTGCGTTTACTGACATGAAATCATCAAGGGTTTACCTGACCCGAGCTCCGAGCGCTACGTGAGACATGGAGCAGACACTAAGGGCGAAACCAATTGAAATGGCCCTTCGCATTGCTAAATCTGGGAAAAAACTACCCGTGCACCATGTTTTAGCAAAAACCATCACATTTACTGCTAGCCAGGGCGGTTTCAGGGAGGTCTCAAAACCCGTGCTTTTCTAGGGCAGTGTGCGGCCTGGTTTCATCTGATGTCAAAATGCATTAACAACTTCGCAACACAGGCGTTTTTGAGGGGGAGATTCACTGCGCAACTGGGAGGTGCCTTGAACCCACCCCTGGCCTCAGCCCAGCCTTTTGAGTCTCAGCTGCCCCACAATAGCACCGTCCGGGCCCAGTAGGCACCGCCTTGTCAGGGAACGGGAGCCATTTTCGGACTGGAAGATCTCCAAATCCGTAGTCTGCGTGTAGCCCGCCTGCCGGTAGACAAGGCAAATGAAAACGCTCAGTCCCAGTCACCCCACCTCCAATACCTCCAGAACAAAGTTCACAAAAATAAAATGTTGGTCCATTTAAATTGTCTCAATCGATACCTGAGTCCAGGAACTACGTAGGAGGATAGACCGGGCTCCTTTCTTGGCACGGGCGAAACGTTCTGGGGATATTATTCTAAAAAACTCCTGACTTTGGACACGTTTCCACAGGCAGCTTGCAATGCCACGGCAAGGCATCAGGTTGTGTGCATCTGATCTACATATATGAACGTAACCCATTCTGGGCCAACCTCGGTCGCAAAGCAGAACGGTAATATGTCGCCTACGTGAGTATCACATGCTAGCGCCAGCACTCTCTGGTTAAAAAAACATACTCGCGTATCCGCATACCGCAATTGCTGAGCCAGCCCTAATGCCTCACTTGTCTCTCTCTCAGGCACCCTCTGATGGCCTGGCATCGGGAACATTCCAACGAGAAATCCTGCACATTGCTTGACATGCCAGGCCCACACCGTACCTGAGCGCGAGAAACTATCAGCTCGAACCAACAGAAACAAACACATTCTATGTTCACCCAGCAACGTAACATCTCTTTGCAATGCGCTTTCAGCTCCATGACATACTATTGCCAGCAAGGTATGACTTTAATTACCACGTTGAGGCTCTCGAGCTCGGGGCTGCGTTCTGACTAACCAACCCATCTGTTGACCGCCCACCACAAACACTGCGCCCGTTGGAAGAGGAACCCACTTAGCCACACTGCCCACCTGAGACAAAAACAAACATGAAAAATGCACACCAGCCTGTCAGGCAACAAGCACCTAGCAGGAGTTGTCTTGGGTTCTGCGTCAAAATGAGACAGACACTTTCAGTAAAAAAACTAGAATGCCCAAGCGGCGTTGCTTGCGGTAAGTTCTGGTGCCACCACCCTGACCTCATCGTTATCCACGAAAGTAACTGTTCGCAGTTTGGCCACCTCCTCAGTGGATTCTTGTGCGAAAACAAGGGCGCCTTCCATCGGTTACTTTCAAGGGAAATAGTCGCAAAAAAACAAACAGAAAAAAAGAGGAAGCAACCCGCTGTGCAGCCAAAACTCCTCGGCCACAATTTGAGGGGCAGTGGTGCGATGGAGCTCCGTGCGCAACAATGCAATGGTTGAGGAGTACGCAGCAGATGCGTAGGCAGCTGTTGTGTTCACAAACTCCGAACGGCCGTCGGACAGCAACAACGATCGGCCCTGGGAGGGGCGGGAAGCAAGCGTCTGCAACCCTGAAGCCTTCGTGAACAGAATCGCGTCGGGCCACAGCGCACACACACACACACACCCGTGCACACTTAACCCAAGCCTCGTTCAAGAACGTCTAGAATGGGCTGGGCAAGGCAAGAAGCACCATCACTCTGAAACCACAAGAGCACGCTGACTTTCCGTATAACTTGATGCTAAAAGCTTGTCTGGGGCTTTTGGTTGTGCATCCAGTATCCTCAAGAAGGGGCCGGTTTGATCAACCATGATTCACAGGTCTCCAAATTTCTACACTGAACTCGTCTAGGGCTACAAGCTTCAAAAGCCAAAACCCACGCATTCGCCGCTGTGCGCCACAGTTCCAACCCAAGGGCAACGCCGTGGACAGCTGAGGGCCCGTGAAGTCCCAACACCGTGCAGCTTCAGGGACGTTTCAGCGGATATGAACCGCTTGTATCAAGGGTATGCAGGCGTATATTGGTGGTATATAAGCATCCATCCTGGACAAATGGGCCCATGTTCCGGGGTCGGTCATTCAGGCGCAAACGTCGGTGTCAAACACGCGTCCCAACCTCAAAAGAGCATTCTCCAAGAAAACCCGCAAAGTGGCTTTAAAACCCATTAAAACCATGGGGGGCTGCTTTGGAAGGGGAGTTCATCTTTTGCCCCGCACGCCCGCCCTAAACGCTGCCACAGAAGCTGCCCAAATTCCTCCTGCGCTGCCAGCGCTGCAATTGTGGAAGGACATGAACGAATGTCTGGACGCCTGGACGAACCGAGGATCCTAGTCTCGGCTGGTCCCTGGACCCGTCCACCAAATGACATCCTACTTCAGACGATCCTAACTTCTTCTCAGAAGTAAGAGCTTCAAAATCCGACCCGAAAAACAACCACCAAAGGAACGCGGTGAAAGGTTGAAGGTTTTCTGGGGAAACCAACCGGTAGTCAGCGACAGCTTTCGGACTTGGGAGCGCGGAATACTGGCGACAGGCAGTGGACCCTTCGGGGTCGATGCTGGCCGGTTGGTTTCCCGTCGGGAGGTGCAAACACAGCGGGTAAGCGTTTCAATTGTCGCTAAGGCGCAGGCCATGCTGAGCAGCAAAGCCCTGCCAAATTATAGCAACAGGACTATCCATCAAGCCAGAGATGAAGCCATCAAGGCTTCCCACCTCTTTCGTCAGCGAACAACAACAATGCCAAAGCATCTTCTCCTTCACTTGAACAACAAGGTTCTCGTCAACCCGTGGACTTCCCTCCAATTGCCATGTGCAAGCAGCCCACCCAGAACTTGCTTATGGTCATCATGCGGCGACAGTCTGCCTCCTCTTCAGGTGTCGATAGACTAGGTGTAACGGATCGACGAGTCATTTCAATTCAATTCTTTGTCTGCCAACAGCTTGACCGTCGGCGTTCCAACATGCTGTCCAACATGGGGGGAAGTGTTTGTGTGACAGACTGAGGGGGTTTTAGCTAGTTGCAACATTGACGCAGATTTGCTAACGAAACCCGTGGCCTTGACAAAGAGGGCCTTGATACCTCCTCCTGAGTGGACAGCAGTGCACCTTTCGCAATGAAATCGCCCAGCAACAGCCACCGTGCTGGGGTTGACGAGGGCATACCTCGGATCAAATATTGTAAATGCATCCTTTGCCCTCGCTGCGCAGACTGCTTCAAAACAACAAACAACAATTTGGATGTGTCTCAGCGTGGACGAGTGATGGGCCCAAGAAACGCAATGGACAGTGTCGTTTTGGCTGCAAAAGCACCAACAGAAGCCCGCCATGGCCTCGGATGGGGAGCACACAATAGGTGAGGTCCGTAGCGGAGAACAAACACCCTTCCATTCATGCATGTGATGCTTTTCACGGCGCTTCTCATCTATGTGTTCTCTACGATGTGTGCATGGAATTTGCATCAATTTCTCACGCAGCAAAACAAGCAAGGGCGTGTCGCACCTGGCAACGGCAAGGCAGGCAAGCGTAGAGGCCGGACGACCCTGCTGCGCCTGCAGTGTCTGCTGTAGGGGGGAGCGCCTCTACCTCCTGTTTTGCCAGCGGCCATGGCTGCAGGAGCCGCGCCAGGTGGAGATATGACTATGCAAATGACGCAGCCTGTTGTGCAGCACCAGCCTGATTCAGTCTGAATGGAACGAAGCGGTATGCAGTGGTGAAGCCAAGTGAAAACTTGCATGGCAGTGTTGGCGTTGCACTTGCTTGCAAAGGTTGCCTGCCTGCCGCGATGGCGAGCGGTCGCACTACTGAATACGCAGCTGCTCTGCGGATGGACGCACATGGTGTGGGTCATTGCCCGATGGTTCCTGATGGAGCTAATTTTGTTCCGCGAATTGCGCAAAAATTATTTGGTGCAATCGAGTGGCAATTCTGGCAATGTGGTCCGTACCCCGTGTCGATCCTCATGGAGGTTGGGATGCAAATCAAGTATTTTGCTGGTAAGTGTCTGAGTGAGTTTATTCTGACACCCAGGTGCGCAAGGATGGCACAACTACCGCGATGGTTTCTGACAACGACGCAGGGCGCTTGTTTAGATTGTCTGGACAAGGCCATGTCTACAGCAATTGCCGCGTGTCACGACGTGTGCCAAATCAGCCCTTCTGCGGCTGCCGGCTGCCATTTCTCGCAAAGAAGCCTTGAAGTTGACCCGCATCCTGTAGTCAGCCACTTTTGGCTAAAGTTTTAATTCCGGAAGCTAATTCGTTAGCTAGAATGCAAGTGAGCTCCGGAAAGCTATGTTGCAAGCTTAAAAATAGGGGAAGCTGGTGAGTCGGCCATTTTGAGGTAAAGATGTAGCCATTTTCCTGGCAACAAAAACAAGGGAGCTAGCGAGTCAGCCATATCCTGCATGTTTCTTCCATGGTCCAAAAGGCAAAGCTATCGCCAGCGAGCCCCTAAAGGGTTGGTCAGAAGCTCTGCGCACTACTCAGAGGGGTGGAGCTAAATCGGCAATCAGGCAAGGTTGATGGCCGAGTGAGCGGACTGCGCGATTGCTCGCATGTGAAGCCGGCCTCCGCTGGACTCGCGCTGGCACCAGCCAGGTCGAGAGCACAGGATCGTTACCTGATTTGTGGGTGCGTCACCACGAGCAGCTGGCCTTCCCGTGAATCATGCCCAGATCAAGCGCATGCAGGGAGTCCAGCATGGGATCGATGCAGTTTCTCGTACGCATGTGAGTGCTTTACTTTCGTGCTACGGCTAATACCAACATTCGGCACGCCCATGTTCCTGACCATGTTCCGCGTCAGCCAGAAGTTGTTGCCAAGTCTGGCCTTGAAAGCAAGAAACAGGTTACGCGCAAAGGGTACTGCCTTGCCTCCCTTTGCGAACATTGGTACCGCAGCCTCAGTGGACAACCAACTTTGAGGTCATTAACAAAACGGTGAGTAGTCACTGATGTGAAGTATGGCCGGCGGATCGGCTGAACAATGATTTGCATGCGCAGGCCGCGTTGATTGGCCAATAGGTAAAGGTTTTGACCCGGGCCCATGGCTGCGCTTTCTGTGATGGATGGGCTGTGCAAGAACTGTGGCAAGTTAAGGAATTATTCGATCAGCTTGCACAAGTGTTCATGGCTACTGGACAGGCAGCGGTTCTAGTATGGCACGTGTGGAGATGTAGTTCTCATTCCAAAACATTCTGGAGCGCAGCGCTGTAGCGACTTTATAAATCTGTCAGGTTGCGTCATGGCTTGACGCAGTGGCAGCCGGCGGACCTAGTTGGCCGCTGATGGGCTGCAGGCGCGTGTGTTCTTTTGCAGCGCTTGGACTTCCCAAGCCTGTTCTTGACCGTATGGGATATTTTTCACAGACCCTGAGACGACGCTGCTTGCTGCCACGCTGTGCGATCGCTCTTTGGCCGTTTGCGCCCGCTTGACTGACATGTTGTGCTTTGCCGATTTGCCGTTATGCCAAAGCCACATCTCCCAAAATGCCGAAGTTGTTTCAATAGTTGTGTCATGGACCCGAAGCTGCACTGCACCGAAGCTGCCAGCATTGACTGATAACTTAGCACGAGCCCAGTACAATGTCAAAAGTGCGCACGTAACTGCTAATGTGAACGTCGTCAGCATACCGCCGTCAACCCAAGGCTGGTAGTCTTATAAGGAATCGCTCAGAATCAGGGACACGCCGTGATACGCCCATAGTTGTGCTGATGTGTGTTGCATAGATCTGTAGTATCCGTGCGGGTATTTGTTTTGGCCATAAATGTTTACTTCATATCATTAAAGGCTTCGCATACTCATTCCTTGTTGCAGTACAAAATCGTTTGGCCTCCTTGTTGCTGCTTCATCTATGCCATCTTCCGTGCCACGCATGTCCTCTTGTGGCTGATGTCCCCTCTGGCGCTGTCGACCCTCCGGCGGCAGAACTTTCTGCCGAAAGGCCCCGGCGGCAGAAATTGGCGCCGATTAAAAAAAAAAACGCCCGCGAGACAAAAAGACGAAACGCAACAAACACTCCGACACGCTAAAACCTACTTCCGCCGATTTCCCGACGAATTCCGCCGATTTCCCACCGATTTCTGCCGATTTCCTGCTGCCTTCAGGAAAACTAGAGACGCCGCCAACAGCAAAAAGGCGCCTTTTTCCATCAAGGCAGAAAGTGGCTTCCCGCTTGCGCAAAAGCAGCTCTACGGTCAATGCGCAAAGGCGAGAAACCGGCCTTCAGGCCTTCAGGTATACTGGTATGCGATTCAGGGCCATCATAGCCACATCCAGCCATCATCGCCGCAAGTGGGTGTTTTCTTTTGGGTGGTTGGTACGCCTACGCGAGCGCCTACGCAAAGCCTCCTCGACTGCAAGGGGTGCCTACACACGTGTATTTGCCCTTCCTTGCCTACGCGGATACCCACGGCCCACGCAAGCGCTTGCCCGCTGCTCTGCTACTTCGAGCCTCGTAACTCTGCCGAGTCATTCATTGGCCGCTGCCGCTGATCATGTTAAGCTACCGTTTCAGCCTGCGCCGTTGCAGACTGCAGATGGTGCGCCTCGAGTACTACACTTGTACTGAAAAGTTGCGATTTTGGAGTTGGAGCTGCTACAGTGAATGTTGCGAATCACAGCTAAACAACTCACAAGCCGCCGGAAAGGGACAACTTCCTCGAGCCTACGCAGATGCCTACGCGGAGCCTACGCGGATGCAGGCGTTCTGCTTTGACTAATCCAGGCCTGACATTCTGCGCGATAGGAGCTTGCTGTGCTTACACGCAACGCAAACTTCAAAGCTACCGTGAACCATGCAGCCACTCTCCCAACAACTGCAAAGGCGGCCCTATGATTCGATGTATCATTCCAGGCTTGTCTAACACGCAGGAGCCTACTTGAAGAAAAACAGCGATGCCCGCGAAACGCCTAGCCTAGGCCCGCCACCTAAACTGCCCACACGAACAGCACGCAGTTCTCTTTTTGTATAAATCCTTGGTTCCGAAAAAAACGCTGCCCAACTGGGGCTTTGATCGAAGGCACTTCTTCCTGAAACCCTTGCTCCCCTTGTGCTTGGATTCCGGGAGAGGCCACTTGCTGATGTGTAGTGCACCGCCGCTTCTTGTTGCAGAGCAATCCTGGAAATGCATCCTGGGGAGCGGCAACAAAAAGAAAGCAACACCGGCTAAATAAACACTTCCAAAGAGTTGAGTAACTTTTGAGAACCAGTTGTCAAAGAGTTTCCAACACTGTGTCATATACCAGTCAGTCATAGTCGTTCCAAGAACTAATGCCATTGTTCAAGAGCTAACGTGTCCAACGCTCAAAACACTTGTTTACGAATTGACACACCAAAAGGCAAGAATATGCTTGGGTACGCGTGAGCTACTGGACTAGACAAAGTCCACCACTCCAAGTATGGCTTGTCGGAACATTGCTTGTGCCACATAACCGGTTTGGCCTTGATTGCATCACACTCATCTCAGAGAAATCGGCTAAACTTTAAACAAACACAGTTTTGTGCCTGGAAAAATCCCTGTGAAACTGGAATAAGACACCAATTCCAACTAGTGCCTCCACAGCATATCAAAGGAAGGTCACGCAGTCCTCGTGCCAAGGTTTTGTATGAAGTAGTCCGCCCGCACTGCCCCGCCATCTCCGGATCTGCCTAAACGGCGCCAGCCAACAACAGGCCCCAACCCTAATTGTGCTTCTGGGGCAGGTCATAGTCACAATTCGATGATCTAAGTATTTGTCTTGAATCGCCTGCGTGCTGCGCTGAACATGGGCAAGACTAATTAATCATTCATGACAGGGAGTCGCTGGCCTTTTCGGGCAATCCTATGATAACCAACGCCAACCTTGAATTCATCTGCCAGACCATTCAAAAGGATGAATGATGAGAAAAGCTGGCACCTCTTATGTTGAGAAGTGGGAGTCGCGCCTCTCTCTTTCGGATGTACATATTTCATGTCTCACCTCATGCGCCTGAGTGCGACTGACCTTCGCCTGGATCCTGATATGCTGCCTCACACTCCGGCACTTGTCTGATACGCAGCGCAAGTTTGTGTGTAGGCAGCTCCTTGCTAAGTCATCCTTGTGTAAAACAGTTTGGTTGCTTGCGAGGTAGCGCAGACCGAGTGCCAATTCTGTAATCCTGGGCGCCTAGATTGGTTGCGGGCACTGTCTGCGCCCTTTAGGCTCGTGTAGCTGCCAGAGTGGCTAAAAACTCCTCGAGCTCCTCGCCTTGAGTCGGCTTGCCAAGTTCACCAAAACGAAATGGCCTCTCAACCTTGCCCTGCGTCCCAATATCGCTGCACTTGCGATATCCACATCAAAGACTCATCCACCTGCCGCACGTGTCCAGTCCCAAATTCTGGAGATGATCTGTGGGATGCTAGATTGTTGCAGCCACGAACTTGCTCCCGCCTGAACTTGGGCGGATTGCTTCTCCCCGCAAGGCCTTCTGGTTCCCAGCGTAGTCCGCATCTGCGATCACCTACACGACGCGCAGCGACGTTCTGGCACTCATCCCTGGCGCGCCAACACCTGGTGTTGCCAACCCAACCTGATTCTTTGCAAACTGGATTGCTGCCAGTCTTTCCAGCCCTTTCTGCTCAACTTGCTCTGCCTCATATTCTGCAACTGGCGCTCTCTTCCTCTTTCATGAGGATGCCTTGGGCCAACCTTTTACCAACACTACATTGAAGCCAGGGTGTGCCTGGTCTCAACTTGTTGCCTCTCTCCATCGCGCACAGCTTGCGCCATCTCCTCCCCTGTGTCTGCTGCTCGTACTGACTACATTTGAGGATCTTCAGGACCATTCGAGGTCCATGGTGCAAATTCTCGGCCCGCCAACTAAGGCCGTTTCTCTTCGTCTCCACGTGCTGCCTAAAGATGAAAATCATGTCTTCCTCTTCTCAATTGCCGTAGAAGATGTTGATCGAGCACAGGATTGGGCTCTTGACCTAGCCAACGACAAAGAATTTCACCTTGATGCCACCTGTGTCGGTCATTGCCATGTTGACTTTCTAACTCTGGGCATGGCTCGCAATCTTTCCACCTTCATGGCACCTCTCCGACATGCGGAGATGTCAAATCCCGATTTAGTCATCTTGCAAGGCCAAGATTTGAATCTGCACCTCCACACTCTCACATCTGTGCTTGTACTGTCGCTCCGCCTGAGGGCGTTCCGGCAGTTCCAATGCCCTTGACGCCCTTCTGTTGGTCGCAGTCGCCCTTCTTGCCTTTGCCTTTGCTGAACTTGCCCTTCTCTCTCCGAACCTTGATGCGAATGTAGTCCACATCCATGGCTGCGCATCACCACTTGCCGGTGAAATATCGGTTGTCCACCTCGTGACGATTTGGACTTCACGTCATCGTAGCTGCTGGTCTTGCCAACCATCATGAGTTTGAGTTGAACAGGACGCACAGCCGAACTGCCAGAACTATTTCCACCTTCATATGTGGGGATAGACCTAGCCAAGCATTGGCTAGTTGTGCGATGGGCGCCAAAGCTCCGCGCCCTGCCCCTGCTGCGAATCCTTCACCTGATCCTCCAAGCGTCATAGCCGCTTTGATTTCCCACGTGCGGGGCTCCTGCAACGCGCTTCGTGTCAGTGCGCATCTCTCTCTCTCTCTTTCTCTCTCTCTTTCTCTCTCTCTCTCTCTCTCTCTCTCTCTCTCTCTTTCTCTCTCTCTCTCTCTCTGCTGAGGCGGACAAAGTCAACTCTGCCACGCTGAGCGCTCTCAACATAAGCAAAGGGCCCCTTGCCTGCCTCGATTGCCGATTGCTTTGATGTAATTCTCCATGACGAACCTTTAGTTTGCACAATCTCAGCCAGCACGTCTCTGAATGCTACAGCTGCTTTTTCTTGCTCTCCTCGCCCGTGACATCGTTTCGTCTTGGAGCGCTGTCTGGGCTTCCGTCCAGGTCTTAGAGCGCTCGCGCTTGACTGTGACTGACCTTCACCTGAATCCTGACAGATATTTAAAAGTGGCAAATGAAACTTCGTGGCCACCGCGACCCAGCTGTGTTTCGCAGACAATGACGAAAATAAACCAAAAAGAACTAGCAGCAATCAAGCTCATGTTCGGTCGTGTTTCTTCACAAAAACCGACGGCAAGAGCAGGCCGGTTGCTCGGAAAAGTGCCTAAAAGTGGCTGGCAAGTCTGTGAAGTCCCGTAAAAAGCCCCTCCAGCCCGCGAAGGAAACAGCACTTATGCCGTTCAATCGCTTGACTTCAACCCGCCCCGCCCCTCGCCAACTCCAAGTTGCACAGCTGAAAATCCATGGCAGCTTCACACGGCGAGGATCTGTTGCACTGTTCCAGGGCATAGCCATAAATGGCACCGCCAGAAAATGCTGCGCTGCAGTTCCGAAAGCTCGCGTTTCCACCCGTCTGCAGGAAATTCGAGTGGGTGAAAATCGCACCTGGGCAGGAATGCGAAAAAAGTATTTCGTTTAAGCTTTGCATATTGGGGCGACCATATGTATGTTCAATGTCTGCTAGTAGTAGTAGCAGTAGCAGTAGCAGTAGCAGTAGCAATGGTAGAAGTAGTAGTAGTAGCAGCAGCAGCAGTAGCAGTAGTTGTGTAGCAGTGGTAGTAGTAGTCGGTCGGCAAGTAGGAAGGTAGCAGCAGTAGCGCGTGGTAGTACGTGGTAGTAGTGCTAGTCATGGTGTTGCTGATACTATTGTCGTTAGGATAGTAGTCGTAGCAATAGCAGAAGCAGGGCCAGCAGCAGGGGTAGTGCTGAAAGAGTGACGCTACTGGTAGCGGTAGTAGTAGCCATAGCCGATTATAGTAGTAGTGAAAGTAATAATTTTCATATGTAACGACCCAACTTTTTCAACATGTTTCTACATGTGTCAATAAAATCCATACATTTTTAGTTTTGTCAACACTTCATGACTACAAAGACTCAGAAGCTGACATCCAAAACCACGTGTTTATTGCATTTTTTGCAGGAGCGTAGAAGCTGGCGTCTGAAAACACTGCGTTTTGAGAAAGCGTAGTCTCTTAAAGGTGGGGTTCAAGCTGACCTGTTGGGCTTGTTGGCTGTTTACTCCTGATTAATAGCCCCCCCCTTTTCAGGTTGACCAGGTTCAAAAAAACGAGTTTTCCATGGTCCCCCTTAGCATACCCTTTAACCCGATTGTCTGCCATCCTCCCGCCTCCAGTCCTCCCTGGCCGGTAGGACAGTGGACAGCAAAAGGAAGCTGAAGTTGGTCGAAGAATTAGCAATAATAGCTTCTGTAGTTGAAAACTTGGCTTTGACGTTATTACTTTCTCGTTTGCGGGGGCAAAATGACAGCCCTTGTTTGGGTTTATCGCCAAACCTTGGCGGCCCCCTGAGACTAGTAGTGGCTGGCAATTGGCGAGGAAGCCGACAGTCTTTCTTACCAGCAAACTGAGAGGCTGGCTTTAGAATTTACAGAATAGGCTTGGGGTGGCTTACGTAGGGCTTTGCTAGTGCTACTAGAGGTCTTGCTGGTGAGGCTAGTGCGTGGTGCATACCAAAAGTCGATAAAAGCCTCAAACCGCGACAAGTGTCTAAAGAAAACCCAAACAAACAAGCAAGCAAACAAGCAAACAGACAGACAGACAGACAGACAGACGCACAAACCGACATTCGCCAAAGGCAAGCCGACCTGTCTGCCATTGGGATCCGGAGGCTCCAACGTATGACTTGGTGCCGCTTCCATATTTCTACTTTTTGCTGAGAAGTAGACACAGGGCAGAAACAAAATTGTGGACCCATCAAGCCCGGGTTCTCTCTCAACGCCCCATGCCGTCAAAGGACCGCCAGAGAAAATTGCATGCGAGTCCGCGAACTTCAGAGATCCGCCAGACCTACAGCGTGAAAGTGGATGGCACTATTTTGCCAGTCAAGAGGATCATGAAACCAAAATGTTGAGCCATCTGCTCTCACCGCAGTGGGCCCACCGCGCGCAGAGTTGCTGTGTCATGCTAAATATTAGGCCTCAGGACTTCGCTCAGTCCTCAAAATGCAGAGCATCACACGCATGCGGAAAAAAACAATTCGAAAACGGCGCTCAGCCTCGACTTGGTTGTCTTTCCTTTTGGTGTGAGCCTCCTACAGCTAAGGCCGCAAACCCAGGAAAAACAGAGTAACGGGCGCTGGGCACATGACTTTTTTTTATTTGGCTGGATTCCCTTGCCTTTGGAATTCATCAGTGGAACGTTGCAAAGGGCTTCCCAGCTCCAACTAGGCACAGCTGGATGGGGAGGATACGTAGCAAAAAATGGTGCCCTCCCGGGGTCCCTTTTGTTGTACGAGCCCCAAATGAAAATCACCCATTGCCCAGGCCAAAGAGAACATCGGAGATTTGGCAAGTCCCCGGCTGTGGTCACACTTGGTAAGTACATCCACGACCCTCCCGCATGATCGTAAATAGACGAACTTCGCCTGGCATGCGCAGACTGACAGCCAGTTCCACTCCACACATGCAGGCAGGGAGCTGGTTGATATGGCCGCGCAGTACATACAGCGAGCCTCCGTCTTCTCCACGACATCCCTGAAAAATTCATTCAGGGCACGGATGCTACGTTGATTAAATTGACAGAAAGTATTGCAATTTCGGCATGGCGCTGCATGCTATGCCAACCCCTGCACATTCCAACGCGTGCTACTTTATTGTAGATTCTGCTGTTGCCTCAGTTTACAACGCGAACGGCCGCAACTTGCCACAAACGCAGCAGGCAAAAGCGCCCGCAGATGGTCGCACAACGCCCGCAAAAAGCCGCACAACGCCCGAAAACAAAACAAACAAATGCAGAAAGCGCACACCCTCACGAAATACTCAAGATGCTAACGCCTTAAATGGGAAACTCCCAGGAACAAGTATGGAAAGGAAAGTGCAGGTCAATATGTTTGTTGCTCAAGAAATTGATTGTTGATCTGTGGATCAATACATTCAAGAGGAACCATAATGATGCCGCACATTTGCAGGGATTCCCGGTTTTGACACTTTTCCAGGTTGAATCGACAATGTATAAATAAATATATATAAATAAATATATATATATATATATATATACTGTATATATGTCAACAGAATTGCGCGGCAGCGTGACTGGTTGCAAAACTACACCTTTTGCAAATCCGCGATGTAATCCGAGTGGGTTCTCCAACCAAGCTAGCTTGAAATCCAGCTGCGCTGTGTGTCTTTGAGCTCGAAGAGCAAGGGCAACCCCCTCGTCAGCATCCCCTGCGCCAAACATTTGGACCCCAAAACATCTCTGGCATCCTGGCCTTGCAACTGGCTCCTGGTGCCAACCTTCAGAAAATACCGCGCAAATCGCCCCCGGCAGCCTCTGCATCCTCGCCAACTTTACCAGCATCCCCAGCATTCCTACATCACCAGCATCTAGGCTTTCCAGCATCCCTTGCATCCCTTGCGTCCCCAGCACCACTCAAAGCCTAAAAACATGCCCCCCTGAGAGTAGGTGTTGACGGTGGGCAGACATAGGCGGGCATGTTTGCAAGCAAATGGGCAAGGTTTCTGCGCAAGCGGGGCCGGCGCCACTATGCAGGAAACATTGCACATACCATGTGTTTGCCGTTGGGTGGGTGTGGGTGTGGGTGGGTGGGTGGGGTGGGGTGGGGTGGGGTGGGGCGGGCGGGCGGGCGGGCGGGTGGGTGGTGGGGTGTGGCTACGCGCTGAAAAAGAGGTGAAAAACTTTGTCCGTCAGTATGCGCTGCTCACCCAATAAGCACGACCGAGCCTGGAAGATCATACGCCCTCCCTCCATGAAAAGGTCATCGCCGACAAAAAGGCAGCCTCAGACTTGTCCCAAACAACCCAACGACTGCATGGCATGTACGCTGGCCCAACAAACCAGGAATCTCAACACCAATGAGGTACTTTTGGACAAAAATCTTTATGAAAACACAACCACGGCGATTGCTGAATAAGGGGGTGACTGGATCCAGATCAGCTTGGGGAGAAACATCCACCAAAAGCAATATGCCGGATTTATTGCTCCATGGTTGGAATCGTGATCATCAAAACATGGGACCCGCAAAATGGTGGTTTTCCTCTTCTAGCTTCCTGATAAATCCACGACCCCAACAGAGGCACCTGTCAAAGAAAGGCACACCCATGTGGCCCGTGTGCTCATCTTGCAGGTTTGGATTCTGCATGGCTCCGCGCCTCCAAAAGAAGCGGTGCCGTTGCGGAAGCTCACATTGCCGTTGCTGATCTTCAGCGTCTCTTCTACGTACAAGGCACCTGGAGCTTCTCAAAATCCGCCGACCCCATGCCTGGTCCAGAATGGACCATTCTTTTGGCATGGGGGGCGGTTGCTTTTGTTGATATTTTTCTATAGGTTTGATGTAAATATTTTATGTATATAAATATGTCCTTTGGGGCGGGAAAATACGTCGGCTGGGTTTCTGGATCTCTGGATGTCTGGATCACTGGATCTCGATCTCTGGATGTCTTCTACATCTCTGGATGTCTGGGTGTGGATGTCTGGATGCCTGGATGTCTGGATCTCTGGGTCTCTGCATCTCTGGATCACTGGATCTCTGGATGTCTGGATCTCTGCGTCTCTGTCTGGATCTCTGGCTGTTGGGATCTATAAATCTCATGGTTTGGGGTGGTTAAGGGTTGGTTTAGGGCTGGTTTTATTAAGGGTGGTTTAGGGCAGGTGTTAAAAAGATACATGTAAGAAAACATGAAGCTGACCATTTTCAATTCGAGGAACAGGCCCAAATTTAACAAACCTGGCTATCTAATTACCCTAATCCAATATGGACAGTATAGTTCCGTTCATGCAAAGCCGCAAATGGAAGTCTATGTTGGACACCTGAATTAGTCAAGCATTAAAACAGAGACAATATTCATGAACTGAGTCAATCAGTGGAGTTTCAATTCTGGCCGATGGCAATCAGTTCGAGGGCGAAGTTCACCCATTTCTCCACCTGCGGACATGTAGTTCTGTACGTTTAACTGCGGTAATCTTACTGATCGTGAGCATCAGCACCCATTGGGCCATGAGGACAATACCACCACTAAACCATCCTAAGCCAGCCCAGCCCTAAACCAACCCTAAACCACCCTTACCCAACCCTAAACAACATAAAGGGGGTAGTGCTCCAGCCCGACATTTTTTTCAGGGGACCCTGGAATAAAGTCTTGTTGACTGGCCCTCCAAAAAATATCAAAAGGAAGCTCCAGCAATACCAAAGCAAATTGAAACTCAATTCCAAATCTCAAAAGGGAAGCTCCAGCAATACTAATTCAAATGGGAACTGAATTCCAATTGTCAAAAGCAACCTGCAGCAATACAAAATCAAATGAAAACTCAATTCATTCCAAGTGTCAAAAGCAACCTCCAGCAATGCTGAATCAAATTGAAACTGAATTCCAAGTTTTAAAGGAACCTCCAGCAACACTACATCAGATTGCAACCCAGTTCCCTTTCCAACAAAATCAGCTCAGCAATACGAAATCAAATGGAAAGTCAAGTCTACCAATACTAACTCAAATGGAAACTCGCTTGAACTGGATCATCTCAAGATAGTATTCCAGGTGCCCCCATTGTTGAGGGAGGGGGCCCGTGTACTAATTTTATGACATTAGTGAAACAATGCTCCCAAACATGCTTCAACAAATGCTGGAAGGGCGGCTCGAATCAAACCTGACCCGGCCTCCATCATCTACCCCGCTGCCTCCGCAGTCCACAAATTCAATGTCTGGGTTCACAAATTCGAGGGAGCCCTCCGCCTCCACACATCGCACGCCTGACAAAACATCGAGGCTTGCGGGATGAACTCAGGGTCATCACAAGCCAGTGGGAAATATAGGCCCTAAGATTCCTCGGGTTCCCCTTCTTTGGGCGGTTTGTGACGCGGCCGAGCTGCATTCAAGTTTGGATGTCAGATGTTCAAGCCCGGGCGCCCACATGGAAATGTCTCAAAGGAATCGGTCCATTTCCTATGGCACGGGTTTTGGTTTGGCTTCCTAATCAGCTAGAAGGGGGTCCATGGCGGTGCTTAAGTAGCATGTAGAGTCCCTTTGCAAGTTCGACTAACTACATGTGAACATATGGCATGCAGAATCGATTATGTATGTGCAAGTGTCTCCTGTACTCAGGGTCATCTTGTGACGGACCGTGAGCACCGAGCAGAAACAGGTGACCAGGACTGAAACTCACCGCTACCTGATCTGAGGCTCGGGGCTCAGATCCGGCTCTCTCACAAGATCCGCTCTCCGGGATTCCAACGAATGTGTGGAAAAGCCAGAACCTTGAAGTCTCCAAGATCCAGACGCAATTAAGAATTGGCAACCTTTTGTTTCACCTTGCAACCCTTGCAACCTTGTTTTCCACCTAGACCTTCTTTTCTCACCTTGGAAACTTTTTCTGACCTTGGAACACTTTTTCTCACCTTGGAGCCTGTTTTTCTCTCACCTTGCAAGCCTTCCTATTTCACCTTGCCCCGTGACAACGTCGAAGTCGAAATAAGGTTTGTACAGCAGCAGAAGAAGTAGTAGTAGTAGTGGTGGTAGTAGTAGTAGTAGTAGTAGTAGTAGTAGTATTAGTACTATTAGTAGTAGTAGTGGTGGTAGTGGGTGAGTGGGTGTAGGGGTATTAGTAGTAGTAGTAGTAGTAGTAGTAGTAGTAGTAGTAGTAGTAGTAGTAGTAGTACTAGTAGTTGTAGTAGTAGGCGTAGTCGTAGCCGCAGAAGCAGGAGTGACGGTAGTAATAACACACGAGTAGTGAAAGTGATGCTACTGATACTAGCAGCAATACCATTACCATTAGCAGTAGCAGTAGCAGGAGCAGTAGCAGGGCTTCTACCACTAGTACTGCTACTACTGCCACTACTGCAACTCCTACTTCTATGACTGCCACTGCTGCTACTGCTACTACTACTCGTAATAATATTTGTTCTAGGAAGTTTAGAAGTTGCGCAAACAGAAGGGCCCACCATGGGGCCTGCGCTTGTGCGAGTACAGGTGCATCCATCTATGCCAAGGCGTCGAAAACATTGATTTCAAAAGCACACTCCCATGGCGGGCCGCCCTCTACGCGAACTATAATTGAAAGGCACTCCGGCGCACAGATGAGATGAAGAAAAATGAATGCACGCTAGAAAATACGGGGGAAGAGAAAAGATACAAAAGTATGAAAAAGGTACACAAAAAAGAGAAACAGAAAAGGGTAAAAGACAATGTAGAAACAGATAAGCCAAGATAGAAAAAGTTTTTCCCGAAAGCATTGCGAAGAGTTCTTCCGGAAAAATCGCCAGCCTTATCACACAGCTAAACTTGCGCGAGCCCACTCGCACCAGCCTTATCGCACAGCCAAACTTACACGAGCCAACTTACACGAGCCAACTTACACGAGCCAACTTGCACGAGCCAACTTGCTCGAGCCAACTTGCACAGCTAACTTACACGAGCCAACTTACACGAGCCAACTTGCACGAGCCAACTTGCACGAGCCAACTTGCACAGCCAACTTACACGAGCCAACTTGCACGAGCCAACTTGCTCGAGCCAACTTGCACAGCCAACTTAGACGAGCCAACTTATACGAGCCAACTTGCACGAGCCAACTTGCACGAGCCAACTTGCACAGCCAACTTGCACGAGCCAACTTGCACGAGCCAACTTGCACGAGCCAACTTGCACAGCCAACTCACACGAGCCAACTTGCACGAGCCAACTTGCACGAGCCAACTTGCACGAGCCAACTTGCACAGCCAACTTACACGAGTCAACTTGCACGAGCCAACTTGCTCGAGCCAACTTGCACAGCCAACTTACACGAGCCAACTTACACGCGCCAACTTGCACGAGCCAACTTGCACGAGCCAACTTGCACAGCCAACTTACACGAGCCAACTTGCACGAGCCAACTTGCACGAGCCAACTTGCACAGCCAACTTACACGAGCCAACTTGCACGCGCCAACTTGCACGAGCCAACTTGCTCGAGCCAACTTGCACAGCCAACTTACACGAGCCAACTTACACGAGCCAACTTGCACGAGCCAACTTGCTCGAGCCAACTTGCACAGCCAACTTACACGAGCCAACTTGCGCGAGCCAACTTGCACGAGCCAACTTGCACGAGCCAACTTGCTCGAGCCAGCTTGCACAGCCAACTTGCACGAGCCAACGTACACGAGCCAACTTGCACGAGCCAACTTGCACAGCCAACTTACACGAGCCAACTTGCACGAGCCAACTTGCTCGAGCCAACTTGCACAGCCAACTTACACGAGCCAACTTACACGAGCCAACTTGCACGAGCCAACTTGCACGAGCCAACTTGCACAGCCAACTTGCACAGCCAACTTACACGAGCCAACTTACACGAGCCAACTTGCACGAGCCAACTTGCACGAGCCAACTTGCACAGCCAACTTACACGAGCCAACTTGCACGAGCCAACTTGCTCGAGCCAACTTGCACAGCCAACTTACACGAGCCAACTTGCACGAGCCGACTTGCCCGAGCCAACTTGCATGAGTCAACTTGCACGAGCCAACTTACACGAGCCAACTTGCACAAGAACCACTTGCACGAGATGAGCCAACTTACGCGAGCCAACTCGCACGAGCCAACTTGCACGAGCCAACTTGCGCAGCAAACTTGCATGAGTCAACTTATTCGAGCCAACTTGCGCGAGCCAACTTGCACGAGCCAACTTGCCCGAGCCAACTTGCAGGAGTCAACTTGCACGAGCCAACTTACACGAGCCAACTTGCACAAGAACAACTTGCACGAGATGAGCCAACTTACGCGAGCCAACTCGCACGAGCCAACTTGCACGAGCCAACTTGCACATCCAACTTGCGAGCCAACTTGCGCGAGCCAACTTGCACGAGCCAACTTGCCCGAGCCAACTTGCCCGAGCCAACTTGCACGAGCCAACTTACACGAGCCAACTTGCACAAGAACAACTTGCACGAGATGAGCCAACTTACGCGAGCCAACTTGCACGAGCCATCTCGCACGAGCCAACTTGCACAGCAAACTTACACGAGCCAACTGGCACGAGCCAACTTGCACGAGCCAACTTGCACGAGTATCACACTGCCTGTGAATATCTCAATGGTGCCAACGCCTGTCAAGGTTGGCAGTGTAGAATGTGAAGTTCCGTGGCCGGCTATACTTTTGAGTGATTGGCTGAAAGTTAGTTTTCAGCGCACTGACGGGTCTGTCTTGTTGCAATATCCGGCCATCAATGCCGACGAGTGGACGCAGGAGCTTGCCTCGTTCTGGAGCCGATACCAAATGGTAGAGCCGCGGCACCCGGTCTTTCGCCTGCCTGAGAAAGAGATAGCTTATAGCATTCCCCTTGGCATACCACGGCGACGAGGGCAGGGGGCGGCAGAAACGGCGACGTCGATGCAGCCGCTCCTTGCGAGAAAAGGCCACAGCTTCATGAGCAGATTTTTGCTCACTCTGGTGCCTTCAGAAAAGTATTCTGGGGACCGGTCACTGCGGGCGCTCCATGACAGCTTCTCTGCGGACCTTAATAGTCTTTTCCATCATGGATTTGAGGCCGCGTGCTTAGTTGCGAGTTTGCTGTTTCGTGCAAGTGTGAGTGCCTCTTTCAATTGCTGAGTTTGTGGCGCGCGATGGCCGCCGCTTGAAAATTCGCTGTGTAATGACGGGAGTGAAAGGAGATTGGCCATGGATCAGCCTGTTGCCTGCATGTGGGTCTTTTGTTTGCACGCATGCAACTTGTGACTGCAGCGACCCTTGTATGAATTTCCGAAATCTGTGGGACTTGGCAGTCGTAGGAAATGCCACTATTGCTCCTTTCACTTGCTCTCTCTCTCTCTCTCTCTCTCTCTCTCTCTCTCTCTCTCTCAATCTATATATCTCTCTTTCTCTTTCTTCCTCTCCCTGTCTTAGACCGTGATCACTCTTTCTTGCATGCGTTCTCGCTTTCCACTCCTGTTCCACTCCCACGCACTCCAACCTTGCTCAAGTCACACTCCATTTGTTTCCAATTATTTGGGCGGCATGACTTCAGTTTACTCTGCTCTCAACCTGTCGCTGTGCTGTTGCTGCTTGTCAGGAGTGGTTCAACACATCAGTCTCTGCGGCGTGGGGATCTCCGTCTGAGCCGCCTGGGCCTAGCCCTTACGATGAATGTCAACCTCAACCTTCACTATCTTTGAATCCTGGAGCCCACCCCCTGGCAGCGCCGCCGGACCAGGCTCATGTGTTTCACATGGGGTGGGGCAAAGACCTTTGCGCGTCAACAATTGTTCTGCTGGCGCGACTTGCGTGGTGGTCTGGAACAAGCTTAGAGACCCGACTTGCTGCCGCCTTTCGAGATTTCGTTGACTGGAGGGATGCCAACGGTGGCTATAGTTCCCTGACGGAATTCTCATTGAAGAAATTGAAAATCAAGTTGCGCCTTGGCGTTCCATAAATGCTTTTCCACATAACAACGGGTGCGCCGGTTTCAAGGGCCCCGCGTGTTGCATGGTGACATTGTTGATGTTGCAGCTGGAGAACACGGTTCTGGCCTGGGTCCATTGCACGGCAAGACTTGGTCTCTAAGGCTTCAGCAAGGCTTCCCGGCTGGCTGCGGCAATGGCCACGATGTGACTCAGCTCTGCCGATGGCTCCTCCACGTGAGCGCCAAAAAGCCTGCTAACGCCCGTCACGCACCTTGCCTTCATGCAATTTCAATGCCAGGCGTTTGTGGGGACACACATGCATGGTGTAAAAAAACATGGAAACATATTGGGGTAAACATGGCGCATGACACACAGGCACACACACACACACGTTTGCACATGTTGGGCATGCTGGGGCCCAGAGCCTCATGCCCTTTAGCGTGTGGCCCCACCCAGCACTGGCGCCACATGCTGAGGCACAGGGCAATGGGTCCCACACAGGCCCCATGCATGCACGCGAGTGTGTCATGGTTATCGGTGCGTGCCCGCGTGTCATGTTTACCCCATGCCCAATGGATGCGAGTGCTTGCAATGATGCGCCAACCCACGAAACAAGCGCATCAAGGAGCAAAACACGTGCCACGCACATGTGCCCTTGCACATGCCATGTACATACCCAATGCCAGGTTGACAGCATCAGCCATAGCTACGCGCGTTCGGCATGTGGGCGCTGGAACTTAGTCATGTTCTTCCGTGGGAATCACACGCACGTTCTCAGCACGCAGGAGCTGCCAGCTGACATCCTGAATCTTGCGCGCTTTACTTTCCAGAATGTGGAGTTGTATTTCAAAGGCATCAACAAAAAGGTTTGGATTTCCAGGAGCGCCACACAGCTTACGTTGCAAGTGTGCGATGAAAGAATGTGGACTGGCAGGAGCGAAGCTGAAATCTGCGCTCAGTCTTGTCAAAACATGTGTGCTGCTTGTTTGCATTATTTTTTCTTGGCTCAACCATTTGTTTTTCGCCCCGCTTCTGATTGAGTTACCTTCTGTGTGCCTGAGGAAGGCTACAGTGCGTTGGCCCGATGGTCAGCCAGCAAGCACTGGAAGCTGTATCGGATCAGGCCCAAGCTTCACCTTATACAGCAGGAGATCATGCGCCCTCTTTGCAATTAGCCAGTTTGAGTTTGTGACAATACTGTGCGCAACAGGATGTGGATGGTGGACCAACTAGCCCGGAACGCATCATGGGTGCTCTCGCCAGCCCGTGAGATGCTCAAATGAAGCTTGAACCGTTGCAACTTGATTGTTTTGCTTCGCAGGCTTCATGACGTGGATGGATGAGGACTATATTGGCCGAGCTCTTTGGCTGCCTGTGCTAAGGTGTTTTGAAGTCTTTGTGTGTGTGTTGTGCACACGCGTGCTAAGGTGGCCAGGATCCATCGGAAGACTCATAGTTTCACATGCTGCATCACCACGATGAAGCGGGCGCTTGCTCACTACCGCCGGCGCTGGCGTGCGTGCAAGTGAAAAAGGGTGAGATTGGCGGGCTATGGGCGCATGCGTATCAAAAAGTAGTCAGTAGAGCGTGTGATTGTCATGTAATGTAAAATGCAAAACTCGAAACGAGCGCCTTTTTTTTCGACAACGCAAACGAGCGGATTTCCAAAAAAACGAGCGGGAAAAAGTGGGCCACATTTTTGTGTACCGAAGGGTGGTCCAGGAATAAACAAAGTATCTTTCAGTTTCCTACGTAGCTACTCGTAAGTCTACCGTATCTCCGGCGGACCGTAGCCAAAACCGTCTGAACATAGGATAACTTGACGAATGCCCTTCTGCATAAACACCCCCACCAATATGCGGGACAGAGCGCAAAACAAAGTGCAGGACAAAGTGCCGGACAAAGTGCAGGACAAACTGCTGGACAAACAACTGTCCGACAAGTTGTCCGGGGGGTTGTCCGGAGGGTTGTCCGGAGGGTTGTCCGGAGGGTTGTCCGCCGAGATTTATGCTGCAAACCCTCCCTCCCGCCTCCAGGCGGTTCCCGAGTGGTTCCCGAGTGGTTTCCGAGTGGTTTCCGAGTGGTTCCGAGTGGTTTCCGAGCGGCAGTTTCCAAGTGGTTTTCGAGGTTTCCAAGTGGATTCCGAGTGGTTTTGGCGTGTTCCAAACCTGTCCGAAGACTTGTCCGGGGGTTTGTCCGTCCGGAGGGTTGTCCAGGGTTTGTCCGTTTTTTTTTTTTTTTTTTTTTTTCCGGGCTTTTGGGCCCTCTGTGAGAATAGGCTGCCCCCAGGTTGAAGAATCAGTTGCAAGGTTGACAATAGGTGCGCAAGGATAGGAAAAATGAATTTCAGCGAGAAAAAAAAGGCTCTAAGGTGAAAGCAAAAGGCTCAAGGTGGAAAAAATAAGTTGCCTGGCCTGCCGCATTTCCAACGTCGAAAGAAAGTGTCAAGGTAAACAAAAAGAGGTTCCAGGGTGAAAAAGAAGCAGGCCCGAATCACATTGGAGATGTGTTGTCCAGATGTCCAAGCTGCATGCCAATGCAAGGTCTCCCAACATTTCGAAAAATCTGGTCCCATATCAATTCTGCTAGAATGAGGGTGACACGCACGTTGTCCTGATCAAACTGTTGCTGGCAAAATTCATTTTGTCCTATCCCCCCTACAATTTCAATTGCATAACAGTCAGTCAGAACATTTCCGGAAGGGTCAACTCGGGATGCGCTAACAGAATCGGCTCAGCACGTGTAAGCGCACCCTGGGCGGATAACTGATGAGTGAAGACTCTCAGAGCACTACCCCCGGAATCTTGAATCCAGTTGCTGGCAGGATTTGCCAGCACATCCAGGATTCAACATTGAAGATGCTCAGGGCATGTCCTTTGGGAATCTCCAACCCAGGATGTGCAAAAAGGAAATGCAAACATGATGCGCTAGCATGTGCCAGCACATCTTGCTAGCACATGGTGGCAGATTGCCGGGGGCATGTTCTGAGAAACTTCCATCTTCAGGCTTTGTTGGTAAGAGCTAGCACACCTGAGCACTAAAGCAAATTTTACCACTAATCATGCTGACCCACATAGACACCTTGTACAGAAAAATAGTGCTAACTGCGTTCAGGAGTTTTTGTTTCTTTGCAAGTCCCCCATTGATTGACAGATTTGCGCATTTCCAAAAAATCATTGAAACACCAAATACTCAATTCATCAACGGAAATTTTGACGATGCTAATTCATATGGACCTCCCCAAATAAGTTTGATCGTGTCGGATTTTTGTACAGCAAAACTGAAATGAGCGAAAGCATTGGTTTGGCCGATTTTGGCCCAGAAAATGCGCGGAAACCGGCGTGAGCAAATATCAGCGGTCAATGCGCAGAAATAGGCAGACAAACGCTGGAACACTTTTCCAATTGCTTGTTTTTGCATGTATGGTCTGAAACGGGCATCAGTTTTGCTGATCCCTAAAACTCGCAGAACAATGTGTGTGTGTGTGTCTGTGCGTGTGAGGAGGGCCTAGTCGCTTGAAGGATGTCACTTCTTCGTTGACTTGCTGACA